ATATACATAGACTTTCAGGGAATGCTCTTGCTAGTTATGTAGGACCTCTAGATAAGTCCCAGCTGTCCGAGCAGGTGGTGCGGACCACATCGCCGATGGCCTTACTAGCAGCTTGCTGCACTGAGGGCTTCTTTGGGTTGGGCTGTGTCTGTAGGCCTTTGCACAAAACGAAAGTTGTACGTGTAGCACAAAATCTGCCGTTTACGGGCATGGAGAGCCCTCCATGTGCGGCTCTAAGTACCTGCTCCGCTGTCTCTCTGTCCCATGGACTGAATTTCTGACTGTACAGCCAAAAAATCAGCATTCCTGGTCCGGAGCTTCGGGGTAGTATAGAAGCCGGAGCAATTGCTACTTTTCAAGGAATCCTCAGGGCGTCCTTATGGTAAAAGCATTATAGATTATAGACCGCAGAACCTATTGAAATTATATGTTCCATGCTTCCATATTACAACAGGGCTGCGGCTGTGGGTCTTTCAGTAGCTTGGCCTCCAACACCAGAAGCCCAGCCCCACGAGACAGAACACTCACAGCTTTCCTAAGGTCCTCAACCTTATCTTACCCCTCTTGAGATCTCAAACCTTTAACCCCATAATCTCCTCAAGATGCGAAGCCCTAAACCTCTTCATCCCAAAACCCCATATCTTGATCCTTATTGCCGCGACCCGAGAGCCCAACATCTTCTGCCCAAGCCGCATCGGGTTATGATGGTCTTTTTCTTGTTGAGCTGAAGTACCAGGACCCCGCCAAGTACCTCTGAATTCAGAATCCTTGCAGTCCTGATTCGTGACACGTATTCCGGTTATGATGGAGGGTTTCTGGGGTTTTAGGTAAATACCATTCTCAACCCCCCAAAGGAACCGCCGTTGCTTTTGGTTGAAGCTCATCTTTCTGGCTTTGGGGTTTCCTTTCACTTGGATGCCCAGGCAACTGCGCGTCGCCTCTTGCCAGAGGCGATGCTGGGAACTTTGATCTTAGTTTCCATGCCTGTAGATTCAAAAGGGCGTTCCAGGCTTTTCGTTTTCTCTTCCAGGGTTTAAGTTGAGGCTTTGCATTCTACATGTTGTGGTGTAAGTCGGTGCATTCTGTTTCGCGGCTGCCATTTGGCTCCGTCCGCAGAGAGGGGCTAGGGTTTGCTTACCCCAATTGGATTTATGTCTAAGGTGGCTTCTAAAGCTCTCTGAACAGACGCTGGGCTGTACTTCTTGTGTGCGTTTCGGGGTCGGGCCGTGGCCGTTCTTGCCATTCATCCTGCCACTCCAGTACCTGGAAACCATGGGCTGTTTGTGGTGGCGGGTTAGAACATTTCGGCTTTTTAGGAGTTAGGGCGGGTAGGGCTTAGAGATTCCCCTAACCTGCAGCCCGAAACCTGCACTAGGTCTTAGGGTGGGGATGTTTGGATTGTCTTTTTGCAGGCAACTCCGGATTGGCTCTGACGATGGACGATGATGACGACTTTGGAGGCAGCTGTGGCAGATCTTCCAATGTTCAGCACAGTAGGACGTAGTGAGAAAATGTATGGAAGCTCTGTTGGTGTCACCGGTCTATCGCCTGGTGATATGTTGAATGTTTTGCAATGGAATGGAGACAGGTGTGAAAGAGCTTCTCTAAACATCCTTAAGCATCACAGCGCCAATGCTTTAAGCCCATGACCCCTGAGGCCTGTTTCTTGCCTCTGACCTCAGCGTAGTACAGCACAGTACTACTTTCGGGGAGAGGACGCAATGTGTTTCTCGATGTCGAGCGGATGTCTACCGTCTACCCTAAACTGCCCTAAACCAGAGAGCTACTGTCTTTCTCCCGGCCGATCCTGGCTTCCGCAGAGAGGAAATCCTCCGAAAAGACCCCGAAGAAAAGACGGTGATAAGCCTCGACCCTAGACCATCCGGAATCCCTCCATCCTATAACCGCTGGACTCCAATCCACCAACCCGACTCCCAAAATCAAGTCATAGATAAGCCTGAAGAATCACAACTCGTATCGCCTTGCAGTTTCTCCATAAGTACACTATAATGCCCTTTAGAGCCATGATAGCATTAATCATGAAGGCCCCTACATGAAGCCCTGATCCCGAAGCCCTGGATCCCTGAGATGATGGCAGCCCACTGAGCCCGAGCTCGAGGCCCTTCAGCCGCAGTGTCGTGGGCTTCAGGTTTAGAGACCTGCTTCAGTATACACTCATTCTGCGAAGGGTTGAAGGTTTCCGGGCCTTGGTGTAGAGAGCCGGAAAGGCACTCTGCGGATCAGCGAGGAAGCTACGCGAGCATGCCCACTGGCGCATACATTGCGCAGCGAAGCTCGATAGTCCAAACCCCTAAATCGAAAGCCCCATGCCCCCGAAAGCCGCAGACTCCCCCTAACCCTAAACCCTCCGAGGCCCAAGCTCTGGACCCGAAGCCCTCAAACTATTGCCTCGCTCGCTGGGCCATGTGAGTACATGCAGGAAGGTGACAAGAAGTTGCACTGGTTAGGCTTCAGGGTGAACGGTGAAAGTTCGTTGGTAGGCCGTGGCATGAGTACACGGCTTCCACTGCAGGCTCACTGACGGAGGCGTGTGCATAGGTCGAACGGATCTGGCTAGTCGGCTAGTCCTCAAGTCCAGTAGCAACAAGGGTGACAGTGAACCGACAAGCCCTATTCTGCGGAGCAGGCCGGATCTTTGCAGGAGACTTGATGTTCACTCCTTCGTAGAGGGTTTCAGGTTTGCAGGCTGCTTTAAGAAGTTTTAATCAATCAAAACCTGACCTGCAGAGGCTTCTGAGTCCAGACTCCCCAGATGCTGACGATCTTTTATCGCCCGCGGGGAAGAGACTCTTGGAGTCAGAAGAAAGGGAAAACCTTAAACCCTAAAGCCCTATAAACCCTAAAGCCCTAAAGCCCGAAACCCTAAAGGGCTCAGGATTTGGGCTCCCAATGGTGTGACCCCTTCTTTCCACCGAGGCCCCTTGCCCCGGAGCTTCCGAAGAATCCGGGGGGTTGTTGAAGTCTTGCCGTGGTGTGGGTGCTGTATTCGGCAAACCCTAACCCTAAACCGAAGAATCTGGGGGTAGTTGAAGTCTTGCTGCATTCCCAGCTACATCCGGCTGTAGAAGAGGGCTCGGATAGGCAGATCCACGGTTGTAAGGCGGTCAGCACCCACTATTCTGCAGGGTTCTGGTCCAGGGGATAAAGCAGACCCGGTAAAACCCCTAAACCTTGTCAGAACCCTGAACCTTATAAACCCTAGAGGCCCTAAACCCTCAACCCTAAACCCTAAAACCTTGAGAACCCTGAACCTTGTGGACTCTGGAGGCCCTAAAAGCTTCGCGAGCAGACCTGAGGAGCAGCTCGCGTGCGTCGTGCGCGCATGGCCGGCCATCTCTCCAACATGTGCCTGGTCTGAGTGCCGGGGGCTTCGAGGTTCGGCCTTATAGGGTATCTTAGGGTTTAGGGCTTACATTGGGTTTAGGGTTTAAGGCTAAGGCTTTTAGGGATGAGGGTTTGGGGTTTAGAGCTTAGGGTTTATGCTTTAGGGTATCTTAGGGCCTAATGTGAAGAGTAAAGAATCTGAACACTTGCTCCGATCTGTCATAGATCTTGGCTTGAAGTGAGTGTGATGAGTTTCCTCATTGATGTAAGTTCGGGGTGCAGTGTCAAGAGCTTCGGGAGTTTCATTCGTGAGAGTGTAGGTATACTAGTTAGGATCAGGTGATGTGCGTTAGCTGGCAAGGCAGGTTTAGAGTTGATGTGGACCCAGCCCTCAACATTGGGCGCGCTTTGTGAGTCCTACTTGCTTGAAGGCTCCTTTGGCTTGAGTCCGTCAGCTTGGTATCCACAGCCTCTGCAAACCCATCATACGCTAACCCACCACTTGCAACGACCAAAGAACCCCTCCACGCAGACCCCATAAAGCTGTTACTGTAGCCTCGGGTTGCGCACTTGAACCTGAGACTTTCCTTAATGAAGTAGTTAGTCTTGAGTCGAGCGTGAAGCTTGATCTCCAGGAAAGGCCTGAGCCCTTCTGCAAACTCGCAGGCTCAAACTGAAACAGTAACCTGCAAACTACAACCCTAAAGACTGGCATGACATCTCACATCTAACAGCGGCACCCACCGCCCCAAGCCCTCAATATCCTAGGCCCTCAACCTATCGCAATTGGAAGAAATAACGTGGTCACACCTGGCCCCTCACACTTCGCAACAGGAAAATATAACCCTAGGCAGCCCAGAAAGCGTTGCTTGAGGCAGAAGAAGGCTACGGAGCGTCGGGAAGAGGAAGCCAAGCCGCGGGGCGAAAGGAGGTGTTTCCTGTACTTGCAGATTGGAATCTAGTCTTTGCGGTTTACGGTTGCCTGTGCATGTCCAGAATGGTGCAGTTTATTGGCATAGGCAAAATAGTCCTATTCAAAAGGTCTTGCCTATGATCATGGGCCGGGGGTTAGAGCACGTCCACAGTCAAGGCACTCATTTACAGGGAGGTTGGTTTCCGGGATCCGCTGGTGACCCAACCCCACGGGGAAATCCGAAGCGTCACGCCATTTTCAACAGCTCGACGAGATGAGCTGAGGGTGCACAAGCCTATGAAATCCTAAACCCGAAACCCCAAAATGTAGTTCCACGATATACAGCAGTGGCCCAAAAGTTGGAAACCCAATAGCCTCAATCCTTAATACTAATGTTACTCATGTATAGGGAATCCCAGCACTATTCGGCCTGAATCCGGTTCCAACTTTTTGGGGGCAGGGGGGGGGGGGTACTAAAATCGCAAATTACCGGAGACCCCCAAGACTCCACCCTGCAGGGACCCTAAAGCCCTTGGCCCTCACACCATTGCAGAGCCCGGGGCCGGAAAGCAACAGACGCTTCATTTTTGAATTCTAGGGTTGAGGGTTTAGGGTTTAGGGGATTCTAGAAGTCCTTTTGACAGTCACTGACAGACAGAGCTTGTAAAGCATGTACTGATGGAACCCGCAGAAATAAGAAGACCTCAGCGGTAGTGAATTCTCTCTCTCCTTCCTGGCCGAGGATGAAGCGACAACGCCAGGAGTTGCTAGAGCTCCCAAGCTGAGTCTGAGTTTTCTAGGGGTTCTATAATTTTGTCTCTGCGTTTCTCGGAGTTTTAGGTTGGCTCGACTTGCAGATGAATTCGAGGGTTGCTTTCAAGATCCGGTTTGGGTGTAAAGTCATTGCGAATGCACTTCCCTGTAGATAGGTCCTGATTGAAAGAAACCTGCTTTATGGATACTTTGAGGAGAAGTATGTTGAACAACAGCTATCCGTCTTTGGGCAAGCAGAAGGATCCTCATGGCACGCCTAGTTCGAGCACACGTCGTCTAGCGTACCCAATTTGCAAATCCCTTTTCACGCAACCCCCAGGTAGGCCTTCTACAGGACCCCGCACAGGGTTGATAGAGGCTGGTGGCACATTCTGCTGCCATTTAGGTAGGGGTCCCAAGAAATGCGGTGTCAACACGAGACCTTAAAAGCCCCTAAGCCCAAAAGCTTCACTGTTGAGGCTCCAGCTGCGCAGATTGTGAAAGATCCGGTTTAAAACCCCAAAGACTAAACCCCAAACCCCCAACACCTAGACCCCAAACCTTAAACCGTCCTTAAAAGCTCCTGACCAGGCAAAAGCTAAAGGCCGAGCAGCTGCCCGATGAGCTGACTCGCACGGAGCTCAACACGCCGGGGCGCCTGAAGGGATTTGATGGGTGCGTGAGGAGAGTGGGGTTCGAGGGTTTTATAAGCGACTTTTTATGATGTTTCTGGATCCTTGTTAGCTACAATGTTACATTTTTGTTATGGTAAAAACCCAATAAGGATTAAACATGATTATTTTTAATATAGCTCCAACAGGGAACCAGATTTGTCTGGTGCTTGGAAGGTTTTCCGGGGTTTTGGGGTTTGGGTCTTGGGTGTTTAGGGCTTAGGGTTGCTGTCGATACAGGTCTCTATATCATGTTTGAGCTTGTTCGGGTTTCATAGTTTGTGGTGTAGGTGTTGCAGGATCGAATACGGGGAATTAGTCAGGATTGGTTTCTGCTTTGATGATTCAAGAGACATACTTGGCTTGTGTGGAGCTTGTCGAGAGAATCAACGTGGTGCAGAGGCGGGCTTCTGCCTTTGAGATTTTGTTGATATTGGGAAAGATGTAGGGTTTGGGTGATTTTGTCTAACGGTGAGTTTGGGTAGCAGATTTGTTGGAGTCTCAAATGCACGGCTCCGTGAGCAGGTATCCGGCTAGAGTCGCTTGCTGTCTCGTCCTTGCGCCATTTGTGCCGGTCTATGCACTACCCGCCTGTCGTGACTACTCGTTGCTGGTTCGCAGAGAGCTCCAATGTCCATTTCAAGGGTTCATGTCAAAGGGTCGGCACTATTGCTTAAGTTCTTTTCCACGACGTCGCTCTCAGAGCCATCCTTAGCAGAAAAGCGCAGGCGCTTGAATACCGAAAAGGACACCGTGGCGTTTTCAGAAACAAGGGACCTTCTTGGTGAACCCTAAAATGGCTGGTTCCTAGCAAGGTGTTTTTCTTTTAATAGGGTCCTTAAACGGGCCCCCTGATTTTCTGAAATCCCCCATCCCCCTTATAGTCCCTATACGGTGTAATAGCCAATTGTAGTCCTTCAGGTCCCTCATGTAGGAACCTGATTAAGAAACCCTGGCCCTATATCCCCAAAATATTAGGCCGTACTATATTAGGGACCCAGAAAGGGGATCCTAATTTAGAGAACTACCCATGCAGCCTACCCTAAACCTTAAACCTAAACCTGGGTCCTTGTTGGATACAATTTTACATTATTGTTATAGTAAAACCCTAATAAGGATTAAAATTGATCATTTTTAATATATCCGCAACAAGGAACCAGAAACCCTAAAGGATTCATACAAGGAGCCCAAATAAAGACACTCAGTTCGCATCCACTCTTCTCCCAGGACCTGGGTATCGCCCGGGATGAAGAGCCTCTACGTCGATGCCAAGGCCTTGAAGACGAAGGGGTTTACAGGGCTGTAGAGTTTTACGGTTGCGTGTTTAGTTCTGCTTTCATTTGGGGCTTGTGGTCCTCAAATACGAGGCCCCTGTGACACACACACACACACACACTGCGACACCGGTCCCCGGCAGTCGCCGTACCTTAAGGTGATCTAGCCCTACTGTAAGCCCGAAGTCTTCAGACCAAAGACCCCCAAACCTGCGCTTACGTGGAACGAAGGACACGTGACCCAAGTTACTTACCCCCGAGACCTTGCAGCCGCATGAGCCCTAAACCCTCCTCTACGGATCCCTTGTATAAGCCGTATAAGCCCCATAGCCATAAGGTTCGGGATGCCTCTTTGGGTTCCTTAAAGGCATCTATATAGCGATTCTAGGGGATCTATAGAGGATTATAGGGCTTTGGGAGTAGATCCCTTAAAGGTAGGCCGACTCGACGCAGGACCGGGATGTGATGCACAAAACACGCTGCGAAAGCTTCGGCCTGAAGATGGTCCTTGGTCTGAATTGTTTCTTCGGGGGTTTAGGGTTCAGGGGTTTAGGGGTTAGGGTTCAGGAGTTTAGGGTTTAGAGGGGTAGTTCTTTCAATTAGGGTACCTTTTTCGGTCCCTAACATAGTAGACCGCACCCCTATACAAAGGGCCCTGAGAGGGGCCCTACTTTAGAGAACTACCCACATCGGCGTCTAGCAAGGGTCTTTAATTATGGACTTTCTCGTATATTATAGAGGATATCCAGCTAGGAGTCTCAGTTAAGAGTCTTTAAGCCAACAACAGTAACCGTTCCGGTTTATGTTTGTTGGCTTCTGCTTGCCTTGAGGATGCAGAGAGTCTTTCGAGGTACCCCTAACCATCCAGTCATTTCGGCTTGTGCAGTTAGTCTTAGAGTCTTGCTGAGAGAAATTGTTACGGAATCTTGGCACGAGGGCCTCTCCTCCGGGGACTTGTGGGGCATATAATGTAGGCTTCTACAGGTTGGTGTACAAGGTATTTCGAAAACTAGCGGGGTCTCAGGGTGTGTGTTCTAACCTGGCACATTCCATTGCACGACGGGAGTTTGTGAGTTTCGAGCGGCTGTATTGGCACTTGGAGGTTCATTTTGACACAGAGCCGTTCCGGACTTTGCCTTGTGTCCTAAGTGCATAGTGCCGCATTTTGTCTGACAGCCGGGTGACCCATGGAAGCTTCAAGAAGCCGTCGCCCGCGATCCCGACGGACCCTCTCCCAGAGGGTTTCTTTGTGGGGCTTCAGGGAGTTAGTGTTGAGAGAGATGGCTCTAGCAATCCGTCAGAGAAGAGCTCATCACTGAAGGGCGCAGGGTGTGGGAGTTCACACGTAAGCCTGAAGAATTTCCAATGTTACTCCTCAGGGTTCCTTCATCCTATTGTACCATAACATACACCAAAGAGCCTTATTGAATTTGTGAAGGCTCCCATTCGAGGGCTTGCATGATCCCAAGAAGGCTTCTCAGCCCCGGAGGAAACAGGGCGAGACTCGTTGCTTTGGGGTATATTCTGCTATAATTATCATAAGGAGCCCAAAACCCCATTCTAATTATTGATAAAGGCCCCTATATTAAGCTCGTCAGATCTCTGGTGGGTGCCTGGTTTTCCGCAGAAGCGGCCAAGCGGTGCCGTTGATGGAGGCATTTTTAGGCCAGGGCATTCCTCTGGAGCAGGGCTTCCACCTCCTTCAGCACTTGGCAGGACTCGGACCGAAGCTGAGTCTGAATCTGAAAGCGGACTGCTTGCGACCAATCCTGTGCAAGACGGTGCCTGGCGAGCATGCAGTCGAAGCCGAAAGGGCACAGGCAAAGGCCTCAAGAGCACAAGCCGAACTCGTGGAGGCAGATCCTTGATGGGGCAGGTGTTGGAAGTTTTCCAGGACGAGCACTACAGTGCGAAAGAGGTGCAATATTGCAACAGATCAGGAATCAGCGCAACAGGACTGTGCACTATGACTAGCCTTGCTTCTCTTCAACAACCGGCAGTTTTCTACCGAAACCAATTAAAGCCAGTGTGGAGACGGTGTCCTGGATGCGACGCCGTATAACCAAGTCCAAAACGGGACTGAATAATTGCCAATGCAATTCCGCAGCATTTGTTGCTTATCCAAAAATATACTCCAAAACCCTATTGAAGGCATGAAGACCCCCATATGTACAGAGCCCTTGTAGGAAACCCTTTTGGGAGTCTTTTTAAAGCACAAGAACACCATTCTTACTTTTTTTTAGGGCCCCCTATACCAAAGGCCTTGAAGGACGAAGCCCTGCCTTGGCCCAGTCGCAATCCTCTCCGCTGATTACCTCGCCGTCCTCCCCTCTTATGCAGCCTGGCCTTCCTCTATAAGGGCCTTGGTTGGCCTTGAGGGTTCAGGGTCTTTAGGGACTGTTGAGACTTGAGGGTTCAGTTAGGGCTTTTGGTTGCAAAAGTTTAGGGCTCTTGGGCTTTTCACAGTGGGCACCTAAAAAGGGAGTTAGGGTGCCCCCAGGCGGAGGGCTCGATTCAGGGAGGTTTGGGCTTTCATCACCGTTTAGGTGCCTGTGAGGGTGTTGGGAGTTTGGCCTCAGGGGCACCAGAATGATTACATACTCACAAGAAACAGGGCGGTTGTCTTCTCCTCACTTCTCAATCCTCACCCTAGACCCTTTTTCCTTAGCCGTGAGCTACGGACCAATCCTGGTGCGCTTGAAGTTCGGTTCTCGTCGTCCTTGAGCTGATTCGGTTAGAGTAGAGTTTCCATTTCGTACATTGCCGACACCGCCGAGACTCTGTATTGTAGCAGCATGTTCGTAGTACATATTCTACTGGTGTATATACTCTACATGCACACAGTCGCCTGGGTTTCGTGAGAAGCTTGGCAGGAAGAGCTCCAGATCTTCGCGCTCCGTGAACTTTGGAGAAACAGGCTCCCGATGTCGCGGGATGTAGGGTAATAGGGTCTCTCTCGACATGAGGGTACAAGGTGATGTAGGGTCGAGATCTCTGAGTCCTCGTGCAGCCTGAAGCTTCACGGATGGTGACACAAGTACACTTTGGCTCGTGCTCGCCGCAACTGGGATTACAAGCACCTGTGAATATGAATAAACTTGTACTGTAACTTGTGACACTCCTACTGAAGGGCTTTGCCACTGTCCTGTTGGAGGTCCATGCTACTACCATGTTAGGACAACGGGCAAGGAGCCCGAACAGTAATTCGTGGCTGCTTTACGCAAGAGGGCAAGAGGGTTCACCATTGCATCCTTCAGCCTCCGCGGTATGAGTTGCTGTGATGGTTGGCGACACACTATAGCTGCTTTAGAGAGTGCGTAGTATGTCTCCTCCGGAATACAGCTCAACAACCTATACTTGAAATGTGGTCCTGAGACACTATGTATGGACCCAAGGTTGCCTTTCCCTCCCATAGATAATTGTATCTATTTATGCATATATATATATACACACACACACACATAGAGTACGGCTTGTGGGGTCAGAGCTGCTGCGCTGCAGCCCAACGTGGATATCCTAGCGCAAAGCATTGCAACAGAACACAACGGCAAACCTAACGACCTGAGCCTCTAAACACGTACGACGCATGAAGAGCTCTTATAGAATCTTTGCAAACAACACAGAAACCGTATAGTTAAGTCCTAAAAGAAGCATTGCAACCGTACAGAATCCGTATAATTGAGCCCTAGAATCACTAGAAGAATCATTGCAACAATACGGAACCCGTATAACTCAGCCCTCAAAGAATCATGGCATTGAACCCTACCACGGAACTCTGAACCTGAGCTTTGTGAAGCAACAACGCGGCGAGGCGCCTCGAAGGAGGAAGGCCGGCTGGGCCACTGGGAGTTTGCAGCGGGAGAACAGGATCTCTATGAGGGATCCTTTCTTCCTCTGATGAGTCGTTCTTCGGCATGTATTTTGCGAGTACTTTGCGGTAACCATGGGGCACAATTTTAAAACTCCACATTCGCGAATTGAGGTTCTGCAGGATTTCTCCCGTCACGTTCATGTAAGCCTCAGTTTTTCGGCAAACCAACCTCCAGAGTTCGATCTGGTCTCCCTGGTCCAGACCGCGTGGCATAAGGCAGGGCAAAGCCTAAGTTCTCGAATCTCAGGAGGGTTTCAAGAAGAGGGCTTTGGCTTGTAATGCTGCATTGCGTTACGCAGGAAAAGCGCCCCAAACATTTCAACCACGAGCCTTAGCCTGGGAAGGCGACCGAGACCGGGGCATCTCGAAGAGAGGATCGACGTTTGCTCGTGCCCCGAAAGCACCGAGATTCGGGAGGCATGCATTCGTGCTGGACACGGCAGTGCAGAGGTTTGGGCCCGGGCATTCAGGGTATCTAGCCATACTACAGCCCGCATAGGGTAGTTTTGCGAAACTTGTGGGCTTAGGATTGTAACCCCGGGCAAACCTAGCTGCTTTAATACTCAAGATTCAAGACTAGTCCCGCGCTAAACTGTCAACCCCAATGTATAGAGACCAGTATTTTATGTGCATGATAGAATATAAGTAAGTATGTATGTATGTATGCCGGTAGGTAGGTAGGTAGGTAGATAGGTAGGTATGTATGTGACTGTATGTGTATGAATAAATGAATAAACACATAAATACATATGTATATAAATGTGCATATATATATATACACATTTATATATACATATCCATTTATATCTATTTACCCTTATTTGCTTACTTATTTATGGTTATATATTCTCTTCTCATATGCCAGATATTCGCTCAGGCATTGGTGTGGAGACCTTGATTCTGGAGCCCCCGGCAAATCTGAGTGCCAAGGTTGGGTCTCCCAGAGATGCAGGGCTTAATATTGGGGTTTAGGGTTTAGGGGTTTAGGGTTTAGGGTTTAGGGGTTCAGGGTTTAGGGGTTCAGGGTTTAGGGGTTTAGGCCTGAACAATTTTGAAGGTGCTATTCTTTAGGGTCCCTTAAGATTGCATATTGCAGCATACTCCAACACCCTCTCCGAATCGTTACGGGCCCCGGTTACTATCTTGGCGTCGCTTTGGGGAGGAAAAAGGCTTAAGTGTTTTCTGCTTACGGTCTTGACTCGGCGGGGGCTCCTGGGTTTCTGGCTATCTCGAGCTTCCTGCTTTGAGGGTGTCGCTGGGCAATTATGGGGGTCGGAATAGCTGGGAGTTTCTGTTCTCCTGAAAACTAGCCTAAAACCCTTATAAAAACACCCTAAACCCTAAACCCCCATAATCAAGCGAGGCTCCCGGACAGCGAAGAAAACAAAGCACATGGCAGAGGAGCCAGATTTTGGGCTGGCAGACGACCCTGGCGGGGCGCAACGGACGGGCGATACATACAGACAGACGGACGGAAAGACTGTCTGATTGACAGCCATGCATGAACGCATGCACTTTGCACATGCATGCCCGCGTGCATGGATGCGCGCGTGCAGGCAGACAGACCGACAGACATACGGACGGACAGACAGGCTATACACACACACACAAAACACATACAGTATGCTTTCATGTACGGTCCATGCCCCTGCTTCGAACCACCCGACATTCGACAGTTTAGCCGAGGGCCTTATCTTGCAGTTATATGAAACCGCAAAATCCGAGCCCCATGGCCTAAGGCCGATTAAAAAAACAAGCCGTTGAAGGAAGCCCTCCAAGCGGCTGCGAGGTTGTATACGGACGCTTAGATGCTGCGTCAAAGGCGAGTCAGCTGCTTGGATGTGCTCAGGGATGTTCGTTCGTTGTCCCTGCCTGGCACATGGGAGGGGGGTCCTTCAAATTAGTAGTGTTACCTTGTTTACGGGTCCTGAGAATAATAAAGGATCCCTGAGATTGGGGTTTGTATTCGAGCTTTTTTGGACTGATATTCTGGAAACTCCCTCATGGACAGTTTCTGCAGAGCTACGAGATGCCAGAGCCCCTAGGAGATCCAGGACGATCTCATCCTGGACGGCCAAGCAGTAAACGGGGCGTTGGCGGTGAGACCTGAGTAGCACTAGGTGTCTTAAGGCCCTCTTGTCATGGTGCTGATCTTAGGACACTCTCCTTCGCCAACTACACGAAGGAGTATGACGCACCTTGGCTGGAAGGCATCTGCCGGTGCTTAACCCCCCTTCGAGAAGGACTACATGGAGATCGACATGGCCCTGGGTTTATTAATCAGGGATCTACAGTGTTTAGGTTTTGGGAAGCTTGTGCCGCAGAAGAGCCGCTGTGTGACGTCCGCCCGTAGAAAACACGCTTGAGTTGACCCTGCGAACTGTGGGCCTTGCGTGAGCTAGAGGCACTCACGCCCTGCGACGAGCCTTAAGCCCAGCGGATTGCCTCACATTCGAAACTGCAAGCCTTGAAGCCAAGTTCCGAGGCTCTTGGACTCAGGCCCTCACCACCCCAAAAAGCCCGAACGAACCCAAGCAATGCTAGACAAGCCCGATTATACTCAAGCACCCTCATCTCAAATCCCCGAAAGCCTTTTCGGAAAGCGCCCTGTAGGATTTGGAAAACAAGATCAGCCAATTTGGACGCACCTCTTGCGAGATCCTGAATTAGGAAAGCCCTATAGACAGAAGCCCTAGGAAGCCCATCTGGAACCGTAACATATCTCCAGCAAAGCCCTTGGAATTGCCCACGCTCCAAGACCTAAAACCTAACGCCCAACCTCCCACCAACCAAACAAAGCATCCAAGACCTAAGAAGACCCTCGACCTCTAAACCTAAGCCCCATAAAAATAACCCTGACTAGACCTCCGCCCCTGAAGTCCCCTTACAAAGCCTAAGCCCCTTCAAGACCTCACCCGAAACCCTAAACGGCTAAACCCTAAACCCTAACCTTCGGCCCTTAAAGACGCCTTGAGGGCAAGATGCCCAGGTCTTCACGGGCGATTTGAAGCAGCGCTTCGATGCCGAGCGACTGCGCTCAGAGGAGGTGCGCTCGACTGAAGGAGGTGAGGCTATGCTTTATTACACTGGTATATAAATATAAATGTAAATATATATATATATACATAGTTAAATAAATAAATGAATAAATAAATAAATAAATATATATATATATATATAGGTATGTATGTATATATATATATATGTGTTACGTATATCCTACTGTAGTACATGGCATTATGTTGTATCATGTTGTGTTACATTAGACTGCACTATCTCACATTGACCAAAAGATGTTAAGCAGGTCTTAGAATGGTCGAGGGCTTATAGTAGGGTTTCTTTGTATCGGGTTTAGGTACACCCAAAGTTCGCTCTGAAAAAATCATCTCTAAGATTGCATGGGGTTTATGATTCTTCCTCGCTGCTTCATGAGGGTGGAACTCTTTGAGTTGCATCATGACGGCT